AGAACACGGGTCCCCTACAAAGGAACAATTAGAGTTACGACGGACTGCTGAACTACAACACCGGAAGCCAGAAGACGGTGCAATACCATCTCCCCAGAGCTCGAAGAAAAGAACTATCAGTCTTCTAAAAACATGGATGAAATAAAGACATGTTTCAGATAAATAAATCTCAAACAGTGATAAAATCTAGTTCTGAAAGTCTAAATCTACATTGGTCAGTAAGGGTGATGACTACCATTAAAAAGATATTCTCTAGGAAATAGGTAAAAACAGAAGCTCCAGGTGCCACCTCTGGGATTTTGTAACTGTCCAGGAGCACTGGTCTCATGCTGGCATCACACCAGGACCGTCTGATTGCTGTCTCAAAGCCGTTCACTCCGTGACCTCCCGTTCTGTGTCCAGCCATCAAGGCGCTTAAACCCAGTCCCCATTTCCTGAGTGCCCACCACGTGCGGGCGCCGCACAAGGGAGCAGGCACTGATCCTGGGAGCAAGGATGTCAAGCCGCTTCCCCAGGGCACGCAGCCAATAAGAGCCACAGCGTGGCTTCAAACTCGTACAACACTGTCCTGTAGCACGAAAGCAGCCACAGACCATATGTCAACAAATGGACATGGCTGTGTCCCAATAAAACTCATAAAAACGGGGTGGGCTGCAGTTTCCCAGCCCCTGTTCTGGAGAACAACAAAAGAGGTCTCTGCATCTCGAAGCCCCTACTCATCCAGGGAACATGTGCTCCGGGGACCTTGCCAGCAGGAGATATTGGGGATGGGGCCACTGCGCCACTGGGCTCTCGCTCACCCAGCAGACAGGTCTTCAGGCAGCAGAGCAGCTGACGTTGATTTCTGCCCCAGAGCTCCGTTCAAGGCCCTTTGCTGTCAAAAAGAAGCTGAGTGTGCAGCCTACCCCTCTCAGAATTCTGACCCAGACAGTAAATCTCTCTCCTCAATGACACACGCCCCAAAATACTGCAAAGTCAATCAAGTCTGGCCGACAGTAACTGAAGACTCAGGAGGACGCCAAGGACTGGCAAGAAATACAACAGCCCGAATCTTGGTCAATTAACAGGCATGAGGAGGACACCTTGGGTGGACAGCTCTTCCCCGCCCGCACATCCCCCATGGGCACTCACTTGATCTTCAGCACGTTGAGGGACTTGTTGGACGATGCTGTTATCTCTCCCGTCTTGTTTCTATTGATGTAAACTGAAAAGCCGTTGTTTTGGAAGCCAAATTCTTTTGCAACCTAAAACAAGCCCAAAACAATGGGGGTTTAGTGAAACATGTCACTATCTCTGCATACACCACACAAGTCAGGCACTGCTGGAACTCAGTCCCCAACACCTTGGATTTAGAAACTGGGCCTCATTTACGGGACTTATCCTGCTATACTGCTCTCCTTTGAGGAAACTGTACTGCTCACACGGATGGCAATTAAAATGAGAAAGGGGGCCCAAGAGAAGCAAGGCACTTGCGCAGATGACAGGCGGTAGGGCACATGTAAGAGTGTGAAGCAGGTCAAAAGTCATGGCCATGTTTCGGAAGGTCAACATCTACTTCTAAAATCAATT